AACAGCCAAACTGTGCTAGGATACAGACTGATTAATTCACGAATGGGATATGTGAGGGGCTGAGAGAGTTAAAATGCAGATTTATTGACCCCAAACCCCTTCTAGGTCTCTGCTCCCAGGCAGCAACTCTCATCAGGCCCTGAACAGTTTTCTTTTTATCCAAGATATGAACATTTCCCTTTCAAGACATCCTGAACTTCCTGGTGCTGGGGAGGTTTAGGCTCAGTAATGCCCAGTGCCTGCAACCTCTCTGAAGGATATTGAGGTCTAATCCTCAAACAGTAGCTTTACCTTTCTGTGCTCTGGTTTTCACCTCTATTAAACAGAACAGAAACCAAGCAGCGTGGCTGTGATAAGGCTTAATTAATCACTGTACACTGAAAAAAATATGAAAAATATCATCACTTAATCCAAGGCAGGAGAATTCCAGCCTGAATTTGCCTGACAGTCAGAGCCAGGCCCGTGATGCAACTCTCCAGCCTTCAGGCAAAAAACCAAATTGGCTGGTCTGTAGTTTCCAGGGGAAATGAAGACAAAGTTTTGGACCCCTTGAACTAACTTTAGACTTGGAGACTCTGTAACCTAAGCTGAAGCCCTTTGGTGGATCAGCCAGTACTGGAAATGAGCTCACCCGTGTACAGCAGACTACATTCCTCTTCTGACAGCCTGTGCACAGTGTCCAGTTCAACTTTTTCCAGAACTGGTCTCTGCTCACTCATGGTTCCTCCATTAATGGTTTTTCTTAGTGGGATTCTGCCCTCATCCTCCAGAGCTTAGTGGTTCAAAGTCTGGCTCGGCTATAAATAACAAAGACATTTGCAAAGCAAATCATCTTATTAAAAAAGGGGATTTTTTCATCCCTCCAACCACAACAAAACTCTTACCATTGAAGAGCAACAGGACTTGGCTGTGAATTGGGGAGTTCAAAAAGGGCCACTTGCAGAGCCGACAGACAGATACCCTCCCTCTTCTCAGCAAGATCACCCCAAAGGGAAGGAATGGCTTCTCCATTAAAAGTTGCAGGTTTCCTCTCTTCCCACTCCTGTTCAAGATTACTCTATTTGCTGGCTTTGCTGTATCTTTGGGGAATTATCTTCGGCTTTATATTTATTAGACAGAATAAAACTCCATGGCAGAGAACTTCATCATCTTTCTCTTCAATTTTCTTATGGTATTTTCTTACCACTCTTGGAGCCCTTGCTCTACCATGTTATTTCTTTTAGTATTCAGAATACTTTTGCGCTCCTTTCTTCTCCTTTTGTGGGCTATTCCAGACATACTGCAATTCTAGACATCTTTCTGCTGCTGGTGGAAGGTTTGTTGCAGCGAGTCTGGATGAGTGCAATTGTGGAAACTGTAATAGGGGCAGGAGGGGGCCTCTGTTTGTGGGAAAGATGTAATAAGAATCCTCTTCCACAACATCTTACTCCATAGAAGCCCCCGTGGGGTACCCAGAGGAGAACAGGGTGTGTTCTTTAGTCCGGGAATGAAAGAAAATCCCAGGATCTGTCTGTGCCCAGCAGCCTTGGGAAAGAGTCCCTCTTTGGTTAACTGTGCCTGAGCTGTGCAGCTTTTTCGTGGAAATCCAAGCTCAAACAATGACATAGGGAGAAAAAGATACTTTATATATATATATATATATATAATACATATATAAGGTTACTTGTTCTAAACAACTGCACAACTGGGAGGAAACACAACAAAAGACAGTTCCTGAGGAACTGGCCCTCTAAATTACCAACCCACAAACCAATTTCCAAGTCCTGAGCACACATTGCTGTGACAGGAATAACAAGATCAGGAATCAGATCCCTTAGTCCCTTCCTATGAATCTCTATTGTGAAAGCCTAAAGGGAAACTGCAGCTGAATCAGTTCTCCAAAAGCAGGAGTGCCACCAGCAAGAGGAAAGGAGAAATGGCATCTCCGGCCTCCTGTGGTTGGTCTGCACCCACCTGCCTTTACTCTGCACATCTACACTGATGGTATTTTACACACAAGGAGAGGCTCTTTACAAACTCCCAGCAGAAGCAGTGGGAAAAGAGCAGCTCAAGAGTGTGCAGAGCCCTTATTGCTGAATTCCTCCTGCACTTGACAACAGGTACTGAGCAGCATCTGCCTCCAGGTCTGCAGACGATTCCAGATTGGAATCCAACTGCAGAAATGCCCTGCACTGGTGCTTGCACTTCTGTGCTGGCACAGGGTTGCTGAGTGGCCCTCTTTGGCTCTGAATATGATGCTGTCAGTACTGAGAATATTTCTTAATCAGTACTGAACGGTGGCTGCCAGAAAAAGTAGAAGTGGCTGTCCCTCAGTCTTGCTTCTGCAGAAAGCGTGATTGTTTAAAGGGGGGCTGTTTGACCTTTCCATTTTTCAAATCTGTATCTCTTTGCCAAGACTGTGTCATTCTTTGTAAGCATTCTGTTGTTCTAAACAAATCTTATACTGTGAGCTTTCTCTTTTATCTCCCTTTGTATGTTGCCATTCGGCAGCCTCACACTAACAAGTGATGGAAGATCCACCTCAAACTAAGAACCCAGTGTGGGCATCTAAGGAAGAAACAACTGCAGAAATGGGCAAAATCTTCACTGAACTAAGCAAACAGGTCACAGAAGCAACCCTACAATAACAAAAGACTCCAGCTTGTGCTCATCAACAATCCTCCAGCAGTAAACGAGCACACATAGGCAGATATTGCTGAGAGACACAACAACAACCAACCAACCTGCCTTGCAAACCCCTCAGAAAAAGCCTTGACAAAACTATGACAGTCATGCAGAATAACAAGTGCTGAGATATCTAAGGATGAGAACCATTTTAAGTCAGAGTATGCTAAAAATGTTTTAGAGCACCTTGAGAGCGCTGGGGCAATTATGAGAAATGGGGATGGCTAACAACAGGCAGCTTATGTATTCTGTATATTGCTGTGCACTGCACTCAAACATATCTTTCATGGCATTCCTGATGAGGAGCCAACACAAATACCACTCTGATTAATCAGGAAGCTACCCAGCAACAACATGAAAAGTTTGCACAAGACCAACAAGCACACAACCTACTCTGAAAGGTATCTGGGTGAGGAAAGGTGCTCCTTTCATCAATGCAGAAAACCCCTAAGGCTCAGTGCTTGTGCAGATAATGAAGCCAAACATGTTTACACACTAGTGATCATTACATGCAGTGATTAGAGGAGATCTTAGGTTAATTTTCATCTCCCCTAACTAACAGACTGATGACCTGCTGCCCCACCTAACCTCTCTGGAGTGACAAGTCAGGTGCTTTCCCAAGCCAGCGAGGCTGTCTTCTTCCTGGGGAAAACAAAGACTTTCTCAACATATATGATTAAAAAGGTCAATGAGCCCCATGCACTCAAACTGGTGTAATGGGACCAGCTGAGCTAAAGCAAAAATTCCTTTTGCTGGAAGTAAATAGCCCACTGTTATCTCCCTGGGGGCCAGGCAATAACAGGAGGCATGTTCCCATTCACTCTGCCAGTGTGTGATATGTTAGTGCTCTGCCTATAAATACAACAGCTTTTTTTTGCCTTTTTTTTTTTTTTAACAAGGCTGTGACAACTTCATCTCATCTGGGTACAACAAACACGCCTGAGTTGTGGCTACACAGCAGGGCTTTCTGCTGTGTGCGTGCGTGGTGGTGGTTTTTCCACCACAGGACCATATGTTACCTACTGAGTGGAGTGGCTGAGTTCCTACCAGTGCATCAGACAAAATCAGGGCAGGTCTCTGATGGAGTGCCTGGGGACGTGCCCAAAAAGCAGCACCTGGACTGGAGACACTGCTCTCTGGCCTGCACTGCAGCACAGGGAGCTCGAAGCAGAAAGAAGTTATGAAGGCACTGGTAGGGGCCCAGAGGAAAGTTCCCTTTACAGTGTGAAATAATAAATGAGACCATGACAAAAAGGCAACACTGGGCTCGAGATTCTGTCTTGATACTACGCCAGCTAACCACGCTTTGCGCATTCAGAACTGACCTGGTCATTAATTTGTTACAGACTTGTGCAGTGTGAGCAAGGCCAACTCTCTTGCATAAAGATGTTTTCTCTTGCAAGCCAACTGGAAAAGCTTAAAGTTTACTATCCATGGAGAAATCTGCTTGACATATCTGTGACACAGCACTCCTCTCTGCACTGCCCACTCAAGACACCTCCTGGATAATTAGACTCTCAGAACAACTTTTCTGCATCCTACCAGAAGTGAACGTAAGCTGATTACTGTGATAAATGCTCTATCTCTAGCAAGGGGCAATGGTGGGTGCTGAAGGAGGAATATATGAAGCAGCTCTTATATATGAAGATCGTTTCCCTGCTGTATCCTCTAAAAAACTAATAAGCAACGTGGGCTTTCTCAAGTCAGGTTGCATCTGGACTGTTGCATCTGCAACTTGTACAGCTCTGTTTTCCAGGCATTTATCTGAGGTCTTTTTGAACTCATTTGGATCTAATTCTCTCAGAGAAACAAAAGGTGAAGTTATGGTAACTGGAGCTCTTTATGTTACAAAGGAGACATGGGAGAAGGGGGTTAAAGCTAATGAATGTCTTTGGGAATGGACGGGACCTTTCTCAGAATAGAACAATAGGGTGCTTTTATGAAACTGGGAGGCAGAAAACACAAAACTATTAAAAAAAAAAAGAACACACTTGTATTATTCAGCATTAGCCCTCAGAACTCATCGCCACAGGATCATACCCTGCGGATGCTGTGGAGAGCCCATCTGTCTTTTAGGTGATGATGGTTGGTTGAGGTGACTCCTACACAACTTATTGAATCAAGAAGGTCACAGCTTGAGCCAGTTCTAGTTGGATGGTTGGAACTGAATTTCGATTCATCACTATTAGTCAGGCTCAGAAAGAGGGAAACTGCTGTCAAGGGCCTTCCTTGGTGAAGGAGCACCCATGAATGCTGACCACTGAGCTACACTCAAGAACTCTGCTCCTTGGTGGACTTCCCCTTCCAGGAGAGGAAAGGGAACGTGCTTTCCTTACCTGGGTGGCTGCTGGCTGACCGATGACCACCCATCCTGGGCACTGCTGGTCACTGTGATGCGAGACGGAGACGTTGGAAGCCCATTGATCGAGGAAGCCTTTGGGGGTGTAAACGCCACAGTCTTTGATGCTGGTCATCTGCTCAAATTCCTCACACACTCCATCACCATCGTGGAAGTAGCACCTGCTGGGTTCATCTGCAGGGGAAAGCAGAGAAGGAGAATCACAAAGGACTGGCTACACATATCTGCAGTGTAGTTGCCAGGACCTGATACCATCAGTGGTCGTGTATGTGCTGGATCAGGTCACTGGGAAGTGGGAGCATTGGTCACTTCCAGGCCATAGCAAGGTGATTGCAAAAAAGCCAACCAACAATAGCCAACGTTTGTATTGGGTAATTCCCTCAAGATATTTCCCAATGTTAGGGGTTTTCTGCTTATTTTCATCTCTCTCCTTTTAAAAGGATGGAGACAGAAGAAAGCAGAGATAGAAAATACATAGAGAGACAATGTGGGTGTTGGCATAATTCCACCAGCTTGGATGGAAAAACGCCAGGGGAGGGTTTGGTCTACGATGTTTCCCTTCTTGTTTTTTAAAGATATTTGCAAATAAACAACAACAGCAACTGTGACTGTAGGGATTGTGAAAACTGCCAAGCTCAGAGTTGTAGTGACCAAAGGGCCAAACAGATCTGTTTATCCAAAGCAGATACACTATAAGAAGTGTGAGGGGTAATCTTGCCACATACACACACGGTTTCAACCAACATGAATCAGATTTGACCTGAAAGGATCAAAAGCAGCAGGAGACTTTATTATCCTTGTCCATTTATTCTGTGGCTTCTCTAATGAGACTGCCAACAAAGATGCCAAATTTTTGAGGTTGTTTCTGTAGCACTGGCCCATTAAAAACTGAACTGAGATCCATCTCCTCTTTTCAAACAGACTGCATAGCAATAATGACTTTCAGTTATTAGAGTACTCTGTGAAATGGAAACCTTTGACCTGTTGGTATCCTATTTTGTATTGTATTATCATTGCCAGTCCCCAGAGGTATCCAGTTCTGACAGCCTGTTGTATTTTTGTCTGGCAAATAAGCCTGTTGAAAAAAGGGTAGGAAATTAGCCAGAGCTGCTAGCTGGGCTGATGGAAATGATCCCTAAGGAGAATCCTGTCAGTAGTATTGGACTATCTCGAGCTAGGTGTCAGAAAATCCGATGGCTGCTCAATTTTGAGCTACTTCTAAACTCCTAAATCCCCTGTTTATTTTTCCTCCTGGTTTACACAGTGAAATACCATCATGAGCCAAAAAAAATGGGTTTATCGCTATTCAATTATTTAATGACTTTCACTCCTTTTCCTCCTGTGCAATATTCCCCATCTTTAAGAGAGTGTGGCTTTGAAAGAATAGAGAAGTCTATCAGGGAAGAATGTCATTATGGTTTCATTTCATCACAACCTCTGTGGACAACTCGTGTACGTGGATAAGTGCAGGGAACTGTGTATTTGCTGGGCGAGTGCTCCGAGCTGGCAAAAAGGCGCCAGCACACGCCTGGAAATGTTTCAGCTGTATGAGTGCAGCCCTGTGCCTGAGCGAATATTCCCAGGGTGGCCAAACTTCCTGACCCTACATGTCACATCTTAAAATCTTCATTTGTCTGGGAGCCACCGAACATATACCACACACCTCGAAGAGCCCGGAGGAGGAGCGCTGGGGACAGTGCTCACAGACAGGAGATGACAATGGCTCCCCGGGGTGGCTGAGAGGATGTGCAGATGGGCCCTAAGGCAACCCAGCAGGGCTGGCCCCCTGGCCCTGCTGTCCTGCCTCCTCCTACAGCCTGAGTGCCCAACAGCTCTGAGCCAGCAGGGCCCTGCTGCTGCTCGTCTGATACCAACCCAGCTGGGAACGTGTGCTTGAACTGATCTGAGAGCCCCAGCTGGGACATCCCTGTACACCTTGGACATCCCTGTAGCACACCTTGGTTCCCTGCAGGGCCTCTTGATGTTGGCATAATGCTACACTGACTCATTCATCCCTGGGAGAGCCATGCTCTGAGTCTGACCAGCTCAAGGAAGGGGCAGAGCATGTCTGTCACTGTGATGGCCATGGAGGCAAACTCCTGGTTCCCTCACCTTGTCCTTCTGCCCCTCTCATTCTGCTCCTCTCTCTGCAAACCCATATCAAGGCTCTGGGTCTCTGCTGTACCCAAGAACAGTAGGATAAATCTAAGTGGCTCACCCACCTCAGAGCACTATGCCCCAGTTTGAGTTGAGAGCCTCAGCAGAAATCTCTGAGAAATATTCAGCCCTGGAAAGACTGTGGTTAGCAATCAGAATCCTCAAAAACAAATGCCAAAACTATGAAAATATGTATTTTTGGAAGAAGAGTTTCTTTGTAATTTTATGAAAAGAGGCTTATTTCTATAAAAAGGGAAAAAGAAAAAAGAAAAGAAAGGAAAATACCTACCATGTTAAAAAGACCTGACCTTCAGCTTTTAAGCATATGCACAGTCAGATATACACATACAGTGAAACACCATCATCCTGCCACACACCCACACTGACAGAAACACTGACACACAAACACTTGTACACTCTCTTTACACATCCCTGACTCAGCCACCCCACTGTTGCAAACACATACCCAGAGAAACTCACAGCCTAATTTTAGGCACATGCATTTAGACAGTGTTTCCCAGCCTTCCCAGAGCACTGACTTATTTTCACGACAGGCACTGAAGTAAGCACAACATTTATATAGCAGCATACTCCTGCACTGGCTCCAAATGTTCCCTCCTAATGCGATGATAAACGTAATGGGCTTCTGATAAGATCATGTGTTTGGGATAAAAGAATACTCAAGACCTACTCCAACCCGATGACTTAATTCAAACTCACATGGATGGGAAGGCAGCCTTTGAATAGCTGTGATCCAGGCCAGTGTGTGATCCTAACAGAGGCTAATTTGTTCCTGATTATGCCTAAGACCCCAATAAATCTGTCTGCTCAGAGTCTGCAAAACCCGAGGGAGGAACCGAGCGCAGAGACTGGGATGTCTGAATTAAATGGAGGCTGCCTAAATGATTAACAAAGTCCTGCTGAACTGCACTGTCATGAGCCCTTGTGCTGTGCTGGCCCTGGAGAGCTGCCTCACCCTGCGCCGGCGGGATGACACCGCGCACAAAAGCTGAGAGATGAGGCACCCACTCGCCTTTGTGTGCTTTGAAAAATGGTGGGGGAAAGTGGCTTTACAACCCTAGTTTACTTTTAAGGAAGATCTGTAAGTCCTACTGTTGACACATCATTCAGCTTGCAGTGCTGGGCTTTGAGGGGAGCGTTGGTGAGAAGAGGGGAGGACCTTTCCTCCCTGTGAGCTTCCTAATTTTGAGTGATGGCGAAGAGGGGGATGTGATTAAATCCTTCCCAGACACAAGGGCATCAACCTTCAACAGCCAAATGTGGTGCATCACTGGGTGGGCTGCCAAAAAGCAGCAAAGATTCTTCCTTCCCCACGTGTTGAGCACCAGCTCTGACTCCAGATTCTTCCTGTGGTCTTGGATGCTTGGTAGGTTATGTGTTGGGTTTTACATTTTCATGATCAAAGTGAAGGACAACCAGGTTGTTTCTTCCTACTATTGCCCTCACAAAATAAAAACAGGTTTCTTCCCTTTCCTCAGTGATGTGAACACAGCTCAGTTAAATCCATAGAGTCCTACAGGTTCAAAGTTGGGGAGGGCAGTGTCAGGAGTGGAGTATTTCTAGGAAGCAGTAGCTGGAGATGATACAAAATGCCTCTTCTGTTCTCTTTTTAACAATGTGAGCTAGTTTTTGTCCCCACAGTGGTCTACAGGCTCCCAAGACATGCTGAAGATCATATCAATGTGTTGGTCATGCATGTTCATCAACACCGTGGACTTCTCACTTCATATATGAATCTGATTTGAAGTAGATATGGAGGAAGGGAACATAAAGGAAATCTGTTTTGTCCTCAAGGGAAAAATGACTTCAAAAAATTAAAAATCAGTTGCCTGGAAATCCAGCTTAAATCTAGAACAGTAAAATGTCTGCAGGCACAGCACCTGGCAGCAGGAGAGAGCATCTCTGGGGGATTGACAACAGATGCTGCAGGATTCTCAGCTGAGCTCAGGGAACCCGTATTCATTCAGGCAGCCCAGGCTCCTTTTCCCTGGAAAAGTTCTTTCTGAAGGCACAAAAACGTTGGGGCCAAAACAACGCCCCTGTCTTGCCCTTGCTGTGGGACAAGGCAGTCTCCAGTTCAGCAAAGATTTCTGTGGTGTTTGGGAATCCCTGAAGGCTCTGTGGCAGCACCAACCTGGAGATGGGGGGTTTGTTAGAGAAATAGGTCAGCAAGACCTGGTTTGCTCACTCTTTAAGGCTTTAAGATCCAGAATGATCCTGGGGCTCGTGTATGTTGCACCAGAAAATGATGCAAACTCCATCTCTCCTTGCTTCCTAAGCTGCCCCAGCACAGTGCAAGAGGTAGCCTTTTGTATTGAAATACAGACCTCTCCTCTGGGGTTCAGAAACGACAGGATGCTCAAGATAATGCAGAGGATTTAGGGAGCACTGGGAAGCACCTGCCAGAGCAGGTGTGGATGAGCAGGTAACTTGCCATCACTGTTACCTGTTTGAAGAGAAGCTGGGAAATCGTCAGCAAAACGAATGAAGTCTGGCAGAGGTCAGGAAGCAAATATGCAGGATATAGACTTATCAGTGATAGGCAGCCTTTCACCTCATTAAAAAAAAGAGAGATGAAGAGATCCATTTCATGGCACAGGGCACATCCTCCAACAAGGTTTTTAATGTCCAAGCAGGGTAGTCAAAGTTCTGGGGACAGACACTGGGGGCAGCTTCCTGTTTTCAGCTGGAACGCAGTGATTGGCATCGGCATAGTCTTCTTTTGTGCAACAACTACTATTTTTTTAAAAGGCTAGACAAAAAAAAAAGGAGTATTTTTAAGCTCAGCTGTTTACTTAGGGATGTTTCCAACTATAACAAGCCTCATGCCACATAACTGTTTGTCCGGAAAAAAAAAAAAAAAAAAGAAGAGAAAGAGAGAAAAAAAAAAAGGGGGGGGGACAAAAACGCAGAAGCATTGTCTCGGAGTAACAAATTTTTGGAACAGAACGAGCTTCGCATTTTTAACCCCTGAAAGGTCTGTCCAGAGGTGTACA